ACATAAATAAAGCAATAAAAATTTGATAGGCACGGCTGCAAATTTGCTGGGTACAGCCATCAAAAGATTTCACCCGCATTTTCATGGGTGGATGTATATTATTATTGCAGTGCACACTGGCAGGGGCAGAGCTAGCATTTAGATATAGAGGGACCATTTAAACTGACAACAATTATTTATGATAAAATACATACACGACATTAGAGTATGCATAACAACCAATGAAATTTCTATGTAACAATACAAAAGAAAATTAAAAACCAAGAAAAGAAAAGAACACAGAATATTTCAGAGAAAAATGGAACAAAACTAATTAGCTCTAGGTCTCTAACAGTTCACCCAATCAATCTAATTCTTTAAGTAAAAAAGAATCATGGTAATAACAGAAACAAAGCAGACAAGAAAGATAACATGAAGACTAATCTCAATTAATATATATGCTATTAGAGGTCAATTTGGAAAGAGAGAAAATAAGAAAGCACTAATTACATTTAGCTAGCTGATTAGAGGACGTATATGGATGAACTAGACGTTTGGTAGTCAACACAACAAAAGATATGAAGAAATAATAGAAAGACTAATTCTTAATTAAATAAGATGCTATTAGGGATTAATATATGTGGAGGGAGGAGAAGAAATAAAAACACAAATACCATCGTTAACTACCTAATTGGAGTATTAAGTAGCTACTTGAGGGGGTGTATGTGAGGGGCATATATAGAAATGTTTTCCAAGGGGGGGGTTGTGGTTATAGATGGGCAACTGGACGGCCCGGCCCGACACATCACGGGCCCGTGCCAGGCACGGCCCGATGGGGGTCGGCGCGGCACGGCACGTCGTGCCTTCCGGGCCGTGCCCAAGCAGGCCTCGTGCCTGTCTAGTGGCCCAGGCACTGCCTGCTGGGCTGATTTTTGGGCTGGGCTGGCCTGAAAAGCACGACCTGCGAAGTAGGTCAGGCCAGCCTGATGTCTGGATCTCCGTGTCTCTGCCGCACCGAGATGTGACGAGGGGAGCACGGAGCAGAGAGGTCGCGTAGGGGAGTGCCGGAGCAGAGAGGAGACACGACGCGATGTGGACTTGCACCATCACTTCGCGGAGAAGTCGCGCGAGGAGGTCGTCGGCGCGGCGGAGTAGAGAGGCTGCGCAAGGGGACAGAGGGGACGGGGGCGTGGGTGCGGCGGCGGCGCTTGGGGAAGCCGGGAAGGGTTTGTCACACTCACGCATGGGAAGGGATGCATCGCGTGAGGGAAGGGGAGGGGAGCATCCGCGGCTGCGCGAGGGAAGGGGATGCGTTGCGCACTCGCGCAAGCCGAGGGAGTGAAGCGTTCATGGGCTCGGGTGCGGCAGCTAGGAACTGGGAATTAGGTTTTGGAGAATAGATAGGGGATGTGGACCTTTCAGCAGGCCTTGGCAGCCATCGGGCCGCCGCCAGGCCAACATTTAAATGGCGTGCCGGGTTGTGCTGCCCAGTGTGCCCAAGTGCTTTGAGCCGAGCTGTCGTGCCTCGGGCTGCATGCCCAAGTATAGTTGTGGTTTGATGCCCCCTTCCCTCCACCCACTGCACACCGTGTTAGACGGTATGGATGTCGTATGCGGCGGCGTCCTGTGACTTAGGTTGTGTTTGTTTCAACGTTTGGAAAGTATTTCTACTGCTAAAAAGCAGAACGCTAACCAAATGGATTGAACCTAAAGCTACTTTTATGTAGTATAATTTTTATAGCACCTTAGATCCTACTTTTGGCTTTCTATTTTTTTCAAATGGGTGAAAATAGAGAGACGTTTCGCAGCTGTCTCAAGATAGATAGTGAGGGGTTACGTAGGTTTCATAATTGTTTCAAACAAACAACTAACAACGTTTTCGGAGTAGATACCTCACAACAACTTTATGACCTGTTTGGCAAAGCTCCTCCTGCTCTAGAGTTTTTATAGAAACTGACTCTCTGTGAAAAGCGATTCTCTGTCTAAAATTGTGTCTTTATGATTCTCTAGGATAAACTCTATGCATACGGTGATGCCATGCGTGGAGTGAATCTGGAGAAGTTATTTTTTTCAACTCTCAGCCCCCTGTTCATTTTAGATAATCACATTACAGAATCAGCAAAGAATCACTTCTTAGTAAAAAAACTATTTGGTAGAGCTTAATTCTCCTGGATTCAACATGAAAGTTGCTCTGAAATCTCTGCCAAACGTGCCCTAATTTTCCACGGCTCACAGCCGAACTAGCAAATAGATCCTTAGATTGTCGATGCTCGCAAAGTCATATCGTCCCAATGCAAGGCGGACGTACGTGCTACGTGCGTGCATGGGTAGTGGTCTAAGTACATGTGTCTCTACCACAATTTTAGCGAACAAATTATAAAGAATGCATACCCTAATAAGCATTAACCACTCGGAGCATGCAAGCAAGGACAAAGTGATAATGGCGACGGGTCCAGGAGATAGCAATATAATCACCATAAGCAGCCAATGGCTGAAGGAACAAATGACACAATATCTTTCGTCATTGTTGCAACGTCGTGGCCAAAGCGTACTAGCGAAACAGATTGTTGCGACCCACCATGTGGTAGGGCGAGCGGCGAGGCACCTCTGGTTGGACGACGCTTTCATAGTGTTTGTTCCCACCTCTTGTCCACTAGACCACTATGTAGTTAAAGCTGCACTCGATTTCGACGAGAACTCACAAGAGGTTGGAGTAAAACGAAAAATGGAAGTGAAAAAAGGTCACTGAAGATGGCACCGAGAGTGTATATATCGTTCACAAAATAGTAAAAAAGGTTATTATTGAAGATGGGCAAGCACCTAAAGCTATTATACTAGATAAATAAATACTCTGTATCCTCTACTCCAATAATCATATATATGACGTCCTAGGAAACAAGTAAATCCTACAAGTTTTTATAAAAATCCAAAAAGACCAACCATCAATTTGATAGGCTCTAACATTTAGTGGGCAATCGTGTTCATACATAACCCTGCTCTCGCAACCTCAACATCACAATTGAAATTACTCTATGATTATAAAAAAACTAATCTTATAATATCTTCTAAATTACACACTGCTACAATTATTGCTATAGAAAAACTATCTCAATGTATATATGCATGATGTATATCATAGTGCATATATACCACGCATACGTGTACATGTATCATGTATGCATGAAGCAGTGAGCATATTGATTTCCATGTAAAACACATAGCTCAAAAGCTAAGGTTCCAACTAAACACGTGTCAAACCATATATGGAGGTGTGATGCAAATGAGAAAAACTATGAAGGGGATGGACATGCCAATATATATAGTATTTCATAACTATTGTGTTTCACAACCTGATAAAGGTAGAACGTATCTATGTGAGTATTATGTTAGAATATGAACCAATAAGGGAGGACAAAGGTAACAATTTTCTATTAGCTGTGTAGGGTCATATTTATACATAAATTTCTAATAATTTATCACTATTACAAAATTCATTTTTACTGCACTCGTAGTATTTTCCTAGTGGTTGATAATTGGTTCCGCCTATGTTGTTGTAAGGCAGGTGGGCCCATGGACAACTACCATCACTAGAATTTGATTTCTAGTGGTGATCACCTCAAAACCAACCACCTCTATAAATAGGGTTATTTCTGCTGGCAGTTTTCTTAAACATCGTCTGCCAATAGAAATGGGAATTTTTACTACTTAAGAAGACACTAGAAATGGCCTAATTTCTACATGAGATTGTCTTAAGACGACCACCCTAGAAATGGATTCTCAAGGACACATATATAAAATGATAATTTTTTCATATGAAGTGAAACAAAGGCAATCTGTCTATCAAAATTGCAGTGCTAAATGAGATTTACAATTTTGTAGTCGACAAACTTTTCATGAGATAATTTAGGGGTCCAACTATTCGTTATAATGTTCCAAATCTATTTAAAAAGATAACTTTCTAAATGATTTTCAGAGGCGATTGCTTTAGTCAACTGCCTCTGAAAATGATTTCTACCCGCGGTTATCTAATGTAAACCGCCAGTATTAAGATTCTCATTTGGCAGCAAGAAACATTTCAGATTCTGAGTAGAATCACTAGAATCGCTGCCAAACACCACAAAGAGAGAAACATTTTAGAGAGAATCACTTGGAAAATGATTCTCGTTTTTGTATTAGTCCAGAGAAACATTCAAAACCTGGTTCCGTTCATAACTCTAGTTTTTATTTTAAGAATCCAGCGAGCTAGCCAAACAGTTCCATGAAATGATTCAACGTTTGTGAGGGTAATCTATATTTAAAATGTTTCTGCGAGAATCTGACGGCAGCGCAAGAGAGGAGTGTGGTTGCCATGGATTAATGGATGAACAAGTTTATTCACATAGTAGATGTCTTAATAACGACGTTAAACAGAAACACATCTAGCCCCTACATTGGTTTTATACGACTCGACTAAAATTGATGAAAATTTTAGCTACATTGCGTCACAATGAAAGTAACTTAATTATTATTCTATTTATGAACAACTTGCATATGCACAATATATTTTCTAGATGGTGTTTTCAGATCATTCTTTTGTTTCGTTTCATATTTCATGAGATTTTCTCAGAGGTTTTCCAAACTTATTAATTACTCCCTCAATTTTAAATTATAAGATATTTTAGCTTTTTTTTAGATACGTAGCATTTGCTATGCACTTATGTCTAGTAAAAACAATGTATGTCTTGAAAAGTCGATAAGTCTTACCGAGAAAGGTACCTCTGATTTATCAGAACCCTTCTTTTCTCCCAGAATATTTAAGGAGCCTCAGATATATATGTGAATAGGCAAAAGCACTGGTCGTGAAAATTAGCCTGATACAGAAGTTACTATCGGTTGCCACTTGCCACAGTTACGAAAACGTGCGCAACACACTGTCCACAGACTCTACTAGCTCTGTCATCCACCAGAGCTTGTACTGTATATTTAATCCTCGGTTAGCACAATTATTCTGTTGCAGGTTAATAGCTATAGCTACAGCTATAATGGAGAGGCCGGAGCTGGAGCTGGACCTCGGCCTCAGCCTCCACCACCGCTCTGCACCGGAGGAGCCGCCGGGCTTCTTCCTCTGCACGTACTGCGGCCGCAAGTTCTACACCTCGCAGGCGCTCGGCGGCCACCAGAACGCGCACAAGTATGAGCGCACCCTGGCAAAGCGCCACCGCGAGATGGCTGCAGCCGCCATGCGCGCGCACCAAGCAGCAGCGTCTTCCGTGAGGGGCGCCGGCAGCGGCCAGGTCGACGCCGACAGCGTGCGGCCTGGAGGCGCCGCCAGAGCTGCCAGCGGCGTTGCTGGAGCAGAGCCTGAGGCGGCTAAGAACGCGAGGCATGCTGATCCGCCGGCGCCTTGGCAGCGGGGCGACGTCGAGCGCGTCGACAACCTGGACTTGTCACTCAGGCTATGATTAGCCGCCATTTCTCCTGAGCAGGCGACCTCTTCGTTCTGCCTGGCTTTGTTTGTCTGTTCCTAAATGATTAGTTTATGTTTATCCTGCTGCGCCTGCCTTTATTCGTTGCATATGCTTCAGTTTTTGTGATGGAATAATGCCTAGCTTGGCAAGAAAAGTATTTGTCGATTTACGTACCCAGACTCCGATCCCACAGGGCTTCAGTTGTTTTCTCTTGATCGATTTGTTGTCAATTTATTTAGCACCTTTTTTTTCAGAAGATACTGTTTGGAATGCTCTTTTTTTTGTACTGGGGGCGGGGATTCTTTAATTTAAGCATTTCAAGATTGTGCATATTCCATGTGAGACTTGCTCGCTTGATGAACAAGTACTACAAATTTCTAACTAGATCTATATACCGGACATGCTTGATACTAGGTTGATGATGTGGTCGCTAAATTAGACATGCTTCCGCACTATGGTTGATTTGCTAAATGATAAGCAAGTATATCTATATGTCCGAAAACCACCCTACTCATTGCAAAGCAAGTTTATTTTGCTTATCCAATTAAGTTAGACACAATTATCATTGATCAGTTACTCTCTCTTTATCTTGTTGTACCATGATACAGTTGCAGACTTGCAGCCTAGCCAGCTGATGAAAAGTCAAACATATGATGCTTTAATTAGTTATTCCCTTTGTATTCTCCGATCCGATCCCTGTCTCTGGGTTAAAAAAGAAAGGGAATTTAAGAAGGTGTATGCTACTGTGCAGGAGGAGAGTGGTATGTATGCTCAACTTTATTCCAAAGTTATTAGGACCGGGCCGGAGATTGAACCTTCAAGACCATCGGTTCAATGGTTCACTAGTCTAACCATTTAGAACCGGTTGAACCGCCGGTTCAATTGTTTTGGACCGGACAAATTGAACCGGCCACGGCTACTTTGAACCGGTTATATATATATATATATATATATATATATATATTTGCTATAATTAATAATTGACAGATGATAAATAAACAACACAAATTTAATTGCACAAGTTTTTAGATTCAAAACAAAAGTGCATGATAACTAATAAGAAATGCAGCTCATCTGTTACTACTTTAGCCATGTCGTGGAAAACTTAGAAATCAATCCCAAATTAATCAAATATGGAGAAAAGAGATGCCTAATAACTAATATACTCTAACACAAACACGAGCTTCATATATTTATGAATCTTCACATTGACAGATCATAGATGCCTAATTTAATCTTAACCCAAGCTCACCATTAGCCATGTCGCGAAGTTCTGCATGGTGGTCTGGAACTAGAGAACAGCAGGGAAGCGCCAGGAGGCCTGGAGCGGTGGAGCCTAGAGCAGAGTAGCAGACAGCAAGGCTGCTGCTGCAAGTTGCGACGTCGGATGCCTAAAACCCAGATATCTCCGCATGCCTCTACAAGTGATCACATGCTGAGATGTCTAGGTTAGGCATCCGACGTCGCAACTTGCTTGAAACCTTCTCAATTTTTTATCATAGCCTTTACATGCGATAACACGACGCCCAGACAAGTTTTGTGATTTTCGGACTTCGTTCGGATTTTATATAATTTAAATACACTTTTCCCGCAAGTTGTTCGTCATGTTACGTCAACAAGATGCTCGAAATTTGATGCGAGTTCCTGGATAAGGCCTCAACATACACCAAATATCATTAATATAATTTTTTGAATCACCAAATTCCATTATTTCATGCACCTGCAGTTCAAATTCGAAGTATGCAAAAAAATTCAACGAAACGAAAAAACTAACGAAATATAAAAAAACTCAAAATTGTCCCAAATTTGAACAGAGAGTTTTAAATAATGTGGGAAAGCCTCACAAAAAAAATTAGGCAGAAAAAACAAAAAAACAAAATTTCTTCCACGAGTGCCTTCCCTAGCACTCGGGGAAGAGGCCCTTTCCCGAGTGCCAGGACAGGGCACTCGGGGAAGACTTAAAAAAAAGGCCCAGCAGGCCTTATCTAAACCTAACCGGCCACCCACCCGGCCACCCCACACCAAGACGTCGCCTGCCTTACCAGTCATGCGCTACCCGCCGCTGCAGCTAGCTAGCCCAGACCCAGACGCCCCACAGCCCATAGTGCGCTGTGTGCCCCCCATGCCCCCATGCAGTCCGGCCGGCGCACCCCATAGCCCGAGACGAGATGGCGCGGCTGCCCCCCGGCCAGGCGCTGCCTCCTCGCTCCCTGGGGCGTCGGGGCCGTCCGGTGGCCGGGGCTCCCTCCCTGCCCCCTGAGGGCCGGCCCGCTGACAAGCCATGACGCTAGCCCCCCCCAGCCCCGGCCCTGGCCAGCCCGAGCTCGAGACGGGCGGCGAGGCCCCTTGGTGCGCCCTGTCCCTACACGTCGGGGCCCGTCCGACCGGCGTGCCCCCTCCCCGGCCCCTGCGGTCGGCCCCAAGGCAAGCCGCCTGGCGCTCCCAGTCCCGGCCCCGGCCCCATCCAACCTTTTTCTTCTCGTCTGGTGCCTTGCCTTACGCCTGCCTGTCGGCCTTTCCTTCTCGCACCTGGTCTGGGAGCAGAGAAGGAGGAGGTAGGTGGAGGAAGGAGGAGGAAGGAGGAGGAAGGGGAAGAGGAGGAAGAAGAAGGAGAAGAAGAAGGAGAAGAAGAAGGGGAAGGGGAGGAGAAGGAGGAAGAAGGAGGAGGAGGAGGCCGGCGAGGAGAGGAGTAGGAGGCCGAGGAGGAGAAGGGGAGGAGGTGCCTCCGTCGCCATGTCCCGTCCCGTTGTCGACGTCTTCTTCTCTGCGTGCATGTCCCGCCAACGCCCAAGGTATACGAACCGTCCCGTTCTGGTTGTCGGCCATCGCGCCGTTTATGTGTTGACGGCCTTCGTGCCGGAATTGTGGATGTGTGGGCCATCGTGCCCCAAATTTGGACGTCGGCCATCGTGCCGACTGTTTTTCTTGCAGGTTATCGAAACCTCCCCGTCCAGGGGAGGTTCTGCCGAAATTTTATACTTATAGTGCTATTTTTCTTCTTTTGCAAAGCAGGACCTGTCGTAGGGGAATCGGAGCACCTAGGTGACCCCGATCGTCTTCGTCGGCGCTGCGGTCCTACCTGCACAGCACCGACTCACCACTGCACCGACTCGCCACTACGTCGCTAGCCTTTCTCCACCACCACCCTAGGTATAATTAAGCTCTTTTCCTTACCGTTGTCGTACGTAGATCGGTGTAGCCCAGTTAGGCGTCTCCTGTCCAAAACAGATACGGTTGGAGGTATGCGGATCTCCACATATCTATGACTGTATCTATTTCGGATTGTCCAGGTGTAATTGGACAGCCCACGGATGCGTAGATGGGTTAGTTTCCATGTTCTGCTCGGATCCAAGATGGAGTTTTGGCACCACCTCCCTATTGTTCTCTGGATACACACACTCCCTTCTAGGACATGTATCGGGAGAGCAACGCGTAGGTGCTGCCAAAATTCTATCTCGGGTCGGAGTAGAGCATGGAAACTAACCTCATCTACGCATCCGCGGGTGAGATTAGGACCTATCCTCACCTATTAGACAGTAGGCACGCCGTACAGATGCGACTGATGGTTACTTTACTCCGTTATGTGTATATGCTAGAGGATGGATAACTGTGAGTGGATGTACACGGGACGCCCAAGTCAGTCTCAAATCACCCGTGAATGGATGGATAAGACCGAGAAATTCTTGGACCATGCATTTAAGACAGCTAAGGGAGCGAGAGACACGTTCTGTCCCTGCAGCGAATGTGAAAACAAGAAAAGAAGAACAAGGGAAGTCATGATGAAGCATCTTTGCAAGTATGGATTTATGCCAAACTATACCCGGTGGGTGCACCATGGTGAACCCTACCGTCCTAGAGAGGAGGTCGTGAGACGAGGCTTGGAGGCATTTGATGGTGATGGCGGGGTAGCAGGATGGTTAGGTGACTATGCGGATGCGATGTTCGCTGATGGACGTACGGAGGACGAGTAGGAGGATGGGGAGGAGGAGCCAGAGCCAAGCGCTAAGGCGTTCTTGGACATGTTGGAATCGGCACAGAAGTTCCTACATGAGAAGACAATGATTTCTCAACTGGATGCCATTGGGCGCCTATTGGGGTTGAAGTCACAACACAACATGACTCGAAAATGCTTCGATGATATGGTGGCAATTATTGGGGATCTGCTTTCGGCGGGTCATCAGCTGCCTCCAAACTTGTACGAGTCAACGAAACTCCTTCGGGCACTGAAGATGCCGTATGACCAGATACATTGTTGTCCGAAGGGGTGCGTCCTATTTAGGAAAGAACACAAGGATGCAAAATACTGTCCAAAGTGTAAATCCTCTAGATATGTGGAGGTAGACAAAGGTGATGGCAAGAAGAAGAAGAATGAGAGGATCCCCATGAAAGTCCTACGACACCTTCCGATCATACCGAGGCTCCAACAGCTATTCATGAAAGAGGAGTCCGTGAAACAGATGAGATGGCACAAGAATGGTGTTCGATACAATAAAGACAAGATGATACATCCAGCAGATGGTGAAGCATGGAAAAGCTTTAATGCCAAGCGTTGTGGCAAAGATGAAGAGGCCCGTAATGTACATGTTGCGCTGACAACGGATGGGTTCAATCCTTATGGAATGATGTCGGCCCCATACACTTGTTGGCCCGTGTTCGCTATCCCCCTCAATCTCCCCCCCGGGGACCTACTTCAACGGCAAAACATATTCTTGACGTTGATAATTCCTGGACACCCGGGAGACAAAATGGGTGTGTACATGGAGCCTGTTTATGATGAATTGATCGAGGCTTGGAATGAAGGCGTATTGACTTACGACCGAGCTACAAGGAGGAATTTCAAAATGTATGTTTGGTACCAGTACTCCATGCATGACTTCCTGGCGTATGGGATATTCGCCAGCTGGTGTGTCCACGGGAAGTATCCATGCCCGGTATGCAAGGTAGCTCTACAGTTCATTTGGTTGAAGAAGGGTGGCAAGTTCTCGTCATTCGAC